GGAAGGCGACAACGCGCAGGGCAACCGCTTTAATCGGACGAATTCCCTCACTTTTACGATCGTGATTCATCCGAGGCGCCAGCCGTCATCCTCCCCTTCCCCCCGCTTTCTCAAATTCGACGCGTTAAATCGAGATCGGCAGCCGCGAGTTTACTTCATTTGCTCGTTCCTCTTCCTCATCCATGGGAGAGAAATTTCCGTTTCATAGGGAAACGCGAGATCGACATGCGGTGGAAGCGTTGGATCTCGATGGGACGGCGCGCCGCCGAGGATCGTAAACGCGCGCCACGGTCGACACGGTAATTTTCAACCGTAAAACAGAGGCCGACGCGTGACTCGGGCCGACGTTAGCCCGAGTCGTTATTGTTTTATTGGATCTAAACAGCCGCCAGCCAGGCGAATCGAGGCGTCGAGCAGGGAGGATCGCCACTAGTTTCGATTCCGCTTGCGAAGAAACGAAGGAGGGGGAGGGTTTAGAATTTAGCGAGGATAGCAATAAGGCGGCGTTTCGAACGCGTTTCCCATTCGGTTAATTCGAAGGTGTATTCGAAAATTTTACCTTCGACGATGGATGATCACACGTCCCCTCCATGATGATCTTCTGGTGGGAGGGGGGAAAAAAGGCGAGGAAAGATGATCGGGTGCGGGTTACGGTCACGGAGTTGAAAAGCGCATGCACGAGAGAGAATGTAATACGTTTAATTGAAGAACACGAGCGAGGAGGCTCGATGTTATCCGGGCACGAAAGGTCGATGCACGAAAGAAGAATTAATCCCCGGCCGTAAAGTTTCCCATTACGTTACACGGGCCCCCGTGGACGATAAACTTCCCGTGAATCGCAATTATATGGCGCCTACGTGCTCCCACCCATAATATATGTATTTTTCTCCTTCAACGTCAAATTCGTCGCTCGTAAACGGAATTACCTTCGCGATAGAAAAACTCCTCGTACGAAGTATTGGGGATACGGGCGAGGGAGAGAGAAAGAGAGGAAAAAGAAACGATCGAGGTTGATTCCGAGTTGCGAGTGAAAGAGGAGGAAAGAGAGAGAGAGAGAGAGAGAGAGAGAGAGACGATTCGACTTAATCCTCGTACGCACTTACGCGGAAACGTGGCGTGAAAACCATCGTGGCTGGATCAGCTTCCTCTGGATATAATGCCGGTGAAATGGTCGCTTTAGTATGATATACGTATCACTTACGCGGGGCGATAATGAGAAGATTTGCTGCCTCTTTATGACTTCCGTGGCTGCTTCTCCCTCCCCAATCTCTCTCTCTCTCTCTTTCTCTTTCTCTCTCGTTTTCCTCTGATTCTTTCTCCGGCGGACACTCGTGCCGCGTCGCTATCGCTTTCGTTGCACTCGCAGGACTTCCTATTAATTTTTCATTAGCCACTCATCCGACGAAATTAACCGTCTCCGCTCCCTTTGACAGAGGTCCGAGTCTGAGCTACAATTTTTTATTCGCATCAAAAGGAATTGATATCAAGTTTCGTTGGCCCCCTTTCTTCTTTTCGTTCCGTGATATTCGAGGAAAATTTGTGGACGGAGAAGATGTTCTTCTGCTACTTGTGCGTGCGATTTCTCGAGAGATTTTTCGACCGGAAATCGATCGAAAAGTGATGTCTATCGATCGATCGATCGACGGAAAACGGTTTCGAAGCAAAAGAGAAGGGGAAAACTGTTTTCACGGTTTCACGGTGCGCCGTTATTTCCACGGCGCGCGTTAAATCATACTTAGACCGTTCGAGCTTGTTGCCCTCCTCGGACGGTGTTCTCCGCGCCTTTATCTTCCACTCTATTTTCCACAGACGGCTTTTACTCCCGAGGCAGCGGCGGTAACGAGCCGACGGGCAGGGCATCGAGTCGACGAAAAATTGGATTCCTGAAATTTCGAGGCTGGAATTTTTTAATACGCGCCTCTCGCAAATGTTACGTCTCCCCCGCTCCTCTGTTCCTCTCCTTCGAGAGACTTCAAAGAGGTCGCTTTTTCGAGCCGGGAATTTTCGTTCGGCGTAGAGGCTCAAAGAGAAAGTGGGGCTTGGCTGATATTTCCACACGTGTACGTGCAATTTTCGCGCAGTTTAATCGAACCCGGCCTTTTCCATCCCCCCCCATCGTTTCGAAAGGAAACGTGTTCATAATAAATAATAATAATAAAAATAATAATAATAATAACGACAACATCAACAATATTCCAATATTCGAGTCGATCGTTCGAGTTTATAATCTCGTAAACTATTTGCCGTTTAGAAAGCTACGCGTCGCGCCGTGAATTTATCAGGCGAGAGAGGCATCCCCTGACAGCGGCCGACATCGGCAAACATCATTTAGCACTCTCGCCCACGCGAATTCCCCGAGTTGAATCCAGCGAGTATCGTTGCCTAAAATCGCGTCGCACGGGTAAGGAGGCCTGAATAAACAAGGACGGAAAGGAGGATGGAAATCATTTATTAATTCGTGGCGAGGTGTCGTCGCGTGGAATCGAGGAAAACGGAACGTGGAGATCGGATCGTGGAAAAAATTGCGATGTTAAAAGCTCGGACGAGATATCAGACATTTTTTTTCCTCGATCGAATTTTAAACGGCGTCCTCACGAGTGATAGGTTCACGCGCGACCAGACGCTTCCGTCCTCACCCCTTCTCTAATTTTTCCTCTCTCTTCTCGCCTCGCCGCGAGATTTTATTTATCGCCCGCGATACCGCGTCGCGTCGCGACGACGGCGACGACGTCGAGGTAAATTCGCCGCCGCGCGCTCCTCCAAGCGGATCGCGGCGACGAAAATAAAGCGAGCGCGGCACGCCGCGGCGTGCCGCTCGAACGACACCTTCGTTTTGTTCCCGCCACGGATTCTCCGGAGGCCGAGCGGTGCGACGGGGGTCAAAGGTCCGGCCACGGTTGAACGACTCGATTCCCCGCTACGACGGGGCTGTTTGTCGCGCGCCAACCGAGCCGAGCCTCCACAACCTTTAATCACAACCCTGTCCTCTCTCTCTCTCTCTCTCTCTCTCTCTCTCTCTCTCTCTCTCCAATCCCCTCGCTCTCCTATCGATACGCCATCTTTTTCGAATTGCGTCTTTCTCCCCATCCGGCGTCACGAGAATTCGAAGAATTAGAAGTAAAGTGAAGCGTGATCCGATCAGCTAATAAATTGGTCCCAACACGGAAACTACGAAGTAGTTTCAACTACGGGGTACGGGGAATCGTATTGGCGCGTCTCCAAAACTGCGTAACCTCTTACCTTTTCTCGGGCATAACGGCTATAATATCGTGGGAAAGGAGCGGCGAGAATAAGCGGAAGATTTAATTCTCGTTCGTCTCTCCGCTCGATGATATCGGCGCGTCACCTGCACGCGCGGTCGCACACACGCGCGCGCGCGAGAGGGAGAGAGTATGGGGGACGCGTGGAGTACGGTGGATGGAACCCTCGAAACGATCGATCGGGTTCTCCTGAATCATGCGGGTGTCTGGCGCGAGCCACGCGGAATATTTCACCGCGGTCGTTCGCCAGGACGAAGAGCGAAAGAGCGCCACTTAGGTGGGGGGTAATATACGTCGCCGAGGGCGGTAACTGTCCCCGTATATTATGTCCCGCGTGTCCACGGGGACATACATTCCACCCGGCTGTATCCATGGTAAACAATGTTCCGAGAGTCGTACACCTAAACGATTCCTCGTGTCTGCAGTTATTTTGGCAATTAATCGCTCCACCCCCTCCTCCTCCTCCTCCTCCTCCCACTCCCTCGTTGAAATATATCGCGTTTCTTCCCCCTCTTTCCAGTTTTTCCTTCCTCCTTCCTCCTCTTGCTCTTACCTATTTGGCGGATCGAAAAAGAGACTTTGAACGAGTTTCGCGTGTCGAGTTTCCTGATTTTCCACCTCTTCAAATGTATTCTGCTATTAATTCTATCCTTCCGTTTCGTATCGTCGTCGATATTCAACCGGCCGGGAGATATCTCACGAATTCCTCCTTCCTTCGCGCGTATTTGCAGAATGATCGATCTCTAAAGACGACAGGGGAGAGGGTATTTTTATACCTCGTTACTCGACACCCGCTTCGTTTTCTCCTCGTATTAAAGGAGAATTAAACAGGGACTAGAATGATGGAGAGGGGGCGCGTATGAAAAATCACCGTCTGAGTGTACGCGGGAAAAGGATATTACTATTGTTTCGTTTTTTCTGCCCGAATCGTAAATCTTCCTCGTCTCCCTCGCCAATCTTGCCCCGAGTTTACTCGTTTGCAGGGCAAATTTTCTCTACGAAACTTATAAACGTTCCTCTCCTCACCTTTCATCGCGAAAGTTTCTCGCGAATCAAAAATCGATCCAGATCCATATATATATATATACGCGTCCAGCAGAGGCCAAGTTGCAAATTTTCCGGCTCGTTTCCACGTGTCCTTTTCCATATTCCGTTATTAAATCCCCTCGAAACTTTCTTCGAGTTTCTCAACGTTGGAAATTAGGCTCGCCCCGATTAATATTTAAAATTTCAAACGATTCCCTCACCCGATCAATCTTGCTCGAGAGCCGTCGCCACCATGGCTGTTCGTCGTCCCCGATAAAACGATACCCGCGATAAACCTTTCGAAGCCAATTAGGGGCTAATTGATTTTAAGTGTAAATCTATGAGCTCTTTCCTCGGCCGCGGGATTGCGGTTAAGACGGGGGAACCTTGAGGATCTCTGCCAACCAGCCAGTTGTTCTCGATAAATTTACGATGACTGAATCCCCCCCTTCTCTCTCTCTCTCTCTCTTTTACGCTCTCCCGTTTTTCTTCTCCGTTTTCAAGCGTTAATGAGACCCGATCGCGTCGCGCCATCCGTCTCTCCGCGATTCCTTTTGTCTCGTGGACACCCTTTCTCTCTCTCTCTCTCTCTCTGTATTCTCTGTTTCCGCATCTCTGTTTACGCGGAACAGGTTATTATTAAACGTTTCTCAATCTTGAGGGTCAGAAACAAGTTGGAATTTTAGGAAGGGAAAGGGGAAAACTCGTTTGGAATTTTTTCAATGCCAGTCGCTTTATTATTTCGATATGTCGAGGTGCGTACAAGTGTAAGGTGCGTATAAGTAGATTGTTACTATATATCGAGGAGTAGATAATGCTTCATCGTTGGATCAAATTCGAAATTACATCTGAGTGAAATTATCCGACGCACGATCTTTTCGATGTCCTTTTACTATGGAGAAAAAAGAATAAATGGATAACGTTGGAAGGAAAGAGTATTCCTCGACGGAAACGGAACAAGTTTGATCACTCACTGCATCCTAAATAAGGGACGCAGACCTCTCCTTTCGTACAATCGGTGTCCTTCTTGCAAATTTCATGCGTTTCCCTTTTGCGCCTCGTGTCCGGGATCTGCAGCGTGACTACGTCCGATTCGTCCTGTCGAGAGCAGAATCTCAAGAAATTCGTCAATCTATCCTAATCTTTTCTATTGAACAAACGTTCTCATCGTAGAGTCTTATCCCTATTATTTAATTTCGAAATTTTGGACTCTCGAAAGGGTTGACAAAGTATATACTTTTTTTACTCTCTTCTTTTCTCTTCTGTTCAGAAGAGAAGGGGGAAAAATTTCTTAATACCCACGGATTGTGATTTACTACGAAAAGGATCGAATCGAAAAGCTTCTTTCTTACTCACTGACTCTCCACTGCGATCTCCTAAGCGGATCACGTGAACCTCTGGCACGTCCTGCGGGCGAAGGACCAAGGACGATTAGAACATGATCGCGATTTACCAGAAACGATTGGACTACTCGCTTGTTGGGTAGGGCAAGCTCGTATCTTCGTACCTTGTCGTCCTTCACGATGCATCGAGTCGCCGAAACGACGTACACGAGCAGTAGGATCAGAAACAGTCCCTTCATCCTTCGATCTTCTCGTTCTCGTTCTCGTTCTCGTCCGTCGAACACTGCTTCCTCGCCTCTTCTAGTATTCTCTCTTATATACGCGATCGATGCGTCACCCTCGCTCGTAAACCTAGTTTTGTATTTCTTACACCAAAAATTATTAGTAGGAAACAAATTGAACCGTGTCTCATATCCTTAAATCGTTAAAAATGGGAGAAAAGATAGCGATGGACGACGGCAGATAAAGCATTTTTTCGCAATCTTTATCTAAATTGGAAACGCGGAATGAGTCGCGTTTACGATGCTCGACGAGGAAGAAACGAGTTTGCGCGGGACAAGATTCGTGTCGATCACGCTCATCGAAATGAATTCCGACGTAATAATACGTGGAGGGGGAAAGGCTTGCGTCCCGCCCTTCGAGGAGCGTGCAATTTCCGTTATCGTTCCGGTTTCGACGATGCGGTTATTTCGAGCCCATTAGCAATAGGTTACGTGACGCTAATGACGCGAGGGAGTTAATTAAAAACTCGTTCAACCGCCGTTAAATATTTATCTCGAGTTTCGTTTACGACGCCAACGTGTAGTGCGTGTATCCCCCCTTTTCGTTCCAAACCCTTTTCCTTTCGTCTTCGATCATCGAGACGATTTTCCAGTTCGTCCCTTGAGTTATCCGCAAGATGATAAGCCGGTCTCGAGAGATGAAAGACGGCCGCGTTTGCATAGAGCGGTCCAAAGTTGCGGGACCTCCGCCCGGAAGTCCTTTGTCCACGCTTTGATTACCAAACACCCTGGTCATTAGCTCGGCAAATAGAGAAGTTCACGAATATATCGTTATAACGAACGATGTACGTGGAAGCACGACTCGTCCGTTTGGAATTTGCATTCGGAGGAATTGCAAATCCTCGGATTCTCTGCGCTGTTAAAAACCGCGCAGGGCACAGCTAAGGGTGGTGGAACGCGCGATTTGTCAAATCTGAGAAACGGCGTTTCCTCGGCCAAGAAAAGAGAGAAAGAGAGAGAGAGAAAGTATTTAAAGTAAGCAAGGAGGTGGGACGCGATTAGACGCGATTTCAACGGCATGCTTGGTAACTAAAAGCGTCGTAAGGTCGACGAAAGGGTTGGCGGAACGCGAGCGGGACGGTAAACTCGCGTGGAATAAAAGTATAAAAAGGGAAGATGGTTGGATGGAAACGGCGCGAGGAACGGGTGAAACGACGATACAACTGGTTAAACGGTTGGCTCGGTGTCGGACACGGTTCAAAATAAAATGGAGAAAGGAAAAGGCGTCGAATTCACCGAGATCGTTCGTCAGTCCCCGTATATTTAGATCGTGACTCTCTCTTCCTCCCCTATCTATCCCTTTCCACCGTGATTTTCGCGCATTTGTTAATGTACCTTGCCCCGCTCCCTCCCTCTCTCTCTCTCTCTCGACAAAAGTCCTCTTCTCCTAAATCTACGTATAAAATAAAATTTTATACGCGGTCGATCGGGCCGGGATTAACGTTTCAACGGAGAGGAGGGGTTCGCCGAGAACTTTATTCGGTTGTGATCGGAGTGGCGAACAACCGGCGGTTCAGAATTTCGGTTGTTGGCGGGTAATCCGTTTCGGGCGGGAGGGGATTATAAGTTAAAATTTTACAGACTGATTACCAGTGGCGGAAGGTAGGAAATTATTTAATATCGATACGGTGTGTACCCGGTTCGGTCATGGGGAGGGGGTAAGAGGGGGGGTCTATTATTTGATATTGATTTCGTTGGGTAGCGCGGTGTGCACACAGGCCTGTGTTGTACGCGATTCGAATCGTGGGAAAGCGGCTTAATTGGAACGATTATCCTCCCCAGTCAAAGAGATAGCGACCAGCATTTCACGATGCACTTACGTAACGATTAAACCGCGTGCATAGGATACGTTCATCGTTAGCGATGAAACTAATGCGGGACGGAGATTGGGTGGCGTGGCCTGTACAGAGGAGGATTCCCCCCCCCTGTCATGACCGGGGATCCAACTCCTCCGCCCGGTTCCTTCCCATTTACGCGCGATATCTCGTCGCTCTAATAGGCCCGGTCGCCCTCCTCCCTTCTTCGCGCCTTTATCGATACGCTCGTGTATCGAAAGAACGCCGTGATCGTTCTTAATCTGTGTAACGCGTTGTTAAACGGGATTAAAAAGCCGCGGTAATCGACCCGGCGCGGTAATTGATTCCGTCGACTTCTTTGTTTTTCGTTTTTTTTTTTTTTTTTTTTCTAAAAGAAACTGCGCGATAAGCGATTATTAACAGAGCTGCGCGTCGTTAAATATATATACCGTTTTTTTTTAAATACCCGGTTTTGTCGGGAGAACGGTAAGCAAACTTGTTGCGCGTGGAGAGTTGACAGCGCGGACAGCTCTGATTCCTATTAGAAAAAAGCATCGAAAATGTAGAAGGGGCGATACGTCTTCTTCCATCGGCGACGCGTCGTTCTCGTCGAAAACAAACTGGCTCCGTTCGTGGAGCACACACCCTCTTCCTTCCTCCGCCAGATATAGACTAATTTGGACAACCGCCCCTCGTCTCCAGGGAGCGTTGAGGGGAGGGGGACCTTGGAAGGGAACCGTTTCTCGTCTGGCCCCGATGTAACCATCATTGAATTCTATCCATTCGTTCGACCAGCCCGCAGAGACTTCGCGAAACTTCTAATTTCGTGCGAAGCGAAACGATCCCCGCGTTAATTTTCGAAGAGAGTGGTCTGTAAGTAATAAATAACCGGATGGAAACGAGGATAAGCGTGGAAAGATCGTTTCTCAAACGCTGGAAAGCTCTCGATGGCGAGCCATCATCGAGGATCGAGCGTGCGCTATCAACGTTGCGGACTGTTGCGGAACCACCAGTTGTCGGAAGCCACCATAAATACACGCGTGTACGGGGCGAACGCGTGGCGGGGAGTTCGTGACTTAATCTGCGAGGGTATCTAGGCCGTATATACGGCCTGTACCGTATACGCCGTTGTATATCGTAGATTTACGAGTCGATTCGGGTTTCGTGCTTTTAGATCCTTTACCCTCTTTCCTTCGTCCACTTTCGATGTATCCGGGTCGTGGATCGTTGTTTAATATCCCCGATGCAACCGATACCCGCGATGCATTTGCGTAATTGAGCGAGCGCGTTTTGCATTTTACCCGTCGATTTTTCGCGAACCGCTCGGTCAGACGTCCGACACCGCCGTTTCCCAGCTCGCTATTCCAGATAAATAAGCAATAGGCCGAGCAATCGCGGAAATGGTCCTCGAAAATTTGATAGTCGATCCAAATGTGGGGAGAGAGAAAGAGAGAGGATATTCCAACTTTCCAACTTTCTCGACTTTGACGAGATAAAAGATCGATTTTAACGCGATATACTCGAGTAATAAGCAGGCGGAAAGTTTCTCGATATCGCGCAACTTTTCGCGATTTCTCGATAAGCTCGGAGAAAGGCGGAAAAGGGAATAGAAAAGGTGGAGCCACGTGATCTAAGAGCCGCACACGCCCGATTCTCGCGGTTACTTTACTGGGAAAGTTTGGCAGCGAGGGTAACGCGTGGAATACTCCCCGAGAACACGATACTCCACTCGAAGGATCGAAGAACCCGATGCATTGCCTCTCTGGATTGCCGACAGTTATAGTATACAGATGAAGGGGGTGCCATATAGCCAAGCACCAATGTATATATATCCACGATCGCGTGCAGCTCTCCTCGGCGTCGAGCCGCGAAGATCCGCGCAAGTATCTCTAAGAAAAGACTCGAAGGCAACCCGATTCTCTCCTTTCCTTTTCTTTCCACGAATACAATTAAACGAACGCTCGCCAGATTTTTATCCGCCAGATCCCTTGGACAAATCTCGTGCAACGAATCTCGAGGCGAAATTCCGTTCAACGCAATTCGTAGCCGTAGATACTTCTCGATTTATCTGTACGAAGCAGAGATACTTTCCTCGTCCAGGGGGCGAGGATCCTCGTTGATCCTCGTCATTTTTCCTCTCCGTCCCCTGACGGGACGCGGTTTTCGAGTTAACGTCGTTCGATGGCCCTTTCTTTCTTAATTGGACCGCGTATTAATCCCCTTCAAGTATCCCACCCTCCCCTCCCCTCCCCGGCCACGACGATTTATTCGAGAAACGATGGCTGGCCCCCGGTAAAAGAGGGAGATAAGCAAGACGGAGGAAAAGTAACGCGGAAGGGCCGCGGAGGATTACGCGGACTTAACTAGACGGACAGTGTCGGCCGAGAGGGAAACGTCTCTTGACGTTTTATCGCGACACGCGTTCCCTGCTCTCGCTCTCGTCCACAGGATCGGATTAAACGACGTCACGTGGGAATTATTCGCGACGCGCGTTAAAATATGATAGGGCGCGGGGGAAAGGAAGGGGGGAAGGAAGGGGAATAACGCGCCGGTTTTGCGGCGGTGGCAGTGTCTGGAAATTCGTCGACGATCGACTAGCTACTAGATATATGTATATATATGCAATAATTGGTAATTATTCGATACAAAGGGCGAAGAGGCGCGACCGGAGTCGAGAAATTGCATCGCGCTACTCGACGGAAAATATTCGAAATATAATTAACGCCCGCCACACCTTGACGTTTTATCCGTTTCCGGCCTGTTCTCGTCACGGTTAATTAATAATAAGCGTTTAATTAAGCGAAATGGATGAGCGCTTTCGCTGATTGCGTTCGCATTATCAACGGTTGTGTGCACGCGGCCATTTAATATCCCGTATACTGGGTGTGTCCGATTAACAAATCTCGAAAGCATGGAAATTTCATCGGGCGAAAATTTCGAAATTTCGAAAATTCGAGATCCCATTCTAGAAAAGAAAGGAGAAAAATCTAAAACCTTCGCTCGAAATTTGAAAAAAACTTTGCATTTTTTTCAATCGCCTCAGATGACAAGTTCTTCGCGCGCACAAAGCGCCATCCCCTTGCGAATGAAATCGTAAAATCGAAGGACGATGAAGCGGGAACGAAAGATGACGGCGATTTCCTCTCGATTCACCTGGTATATGTTCGGTCGGCGTGCGTCCATTTGCGGCGCGTTTTCATG